TTGCAACAGTTGCCTCACAGTTGTTCTCCTCCTCTGGGAGAGGCTATTTTTGTTAAGTGCGTTTGTGCTCGTCTGTTTGTCTATCTGTCCGCACCGAAGGAGGCCTTCTGTGCTCGTATGTGTGTGTGTGTGCACGCGCCCGCGTCGGTGTGTGTGTTTGTGCCGTGAACGTGACAAGCCTTCCACGCCTTGTTCGATCTCCGGTTGTCTCAGCCTCGCGTATGCACAATTGCGACAGTTGTCCTTCTTCACAAATATAAAGGAAGTCCACAATCGTGATGAGAATCGTCACACACTGAGGGACGAGAGTGATACCGACGTGGATGGCGATGACCGCGACAACGTCAACCACTCGACGACAGTGGCAGTGCAATGGAATAAAAACTAGGTGAGGCACAAGAACGTGCCAACTGTGTGTTCTATATTTGCTCACCGTTCGTTCGTCAGTCCCTCGATTACACAATTGACAGTGACAATCCGTTCACAGTTGTCCTGTCCGGAGTCCAATCACGTAATGGGCACAGTTTGATCGGTGCGGTTCCCAAGTACGACAATTTGAAGGTGTGGACAGTGACACTGGGATATTGCTATAGTTGTTGTGAGCGTGTGTGTGCGTGTATGTAAGTGATGATTTTCTACTGATGGACAGTATGAACAGTTTGACAGGTCACTCGAAGCTGTTACGTAATATACGTTTTCGCTTGCCTACTACTCCTTCCGAGATGCGTGTGTGCGTGCGTGCGTACGTGTGTGTGTGTGTACAGTGTTAGATGTAGGTGCGAATGAGGCGTGTGGTACAGCACCGGAAAAAAAGTGTACACGGTATTGGAACTTCGGCAGAAGATGACAAAGACGATGTCGATGTGGATGATCAAGTTTTGTCCGTTTGGGTGGTGAATGGGTGGGTGGGCAGGACAATTGATCCCGTTTTTCTCGTCTGCTGATTTTGTTGTTGGTCCTTTTTTTGCCCAAAAGTCAACCAATTTCTGTCGACACTGGATGGCGGCTCGTCTTCGCGGGAATTGCGACAGTTGTCTCCGTACAAGCAGAGCGAGAGCGAGCGAGCGACCGAGTGAGAGAGAGAGAGTAGCAATCTCGGCCTCGACCGGTCGCGACAGAGATTATACTGTTGAATGTTCACACCAACTGTTCCGTTCTGTTTCGTTTGGAGTAAAGTGGGTTTTTTTCTCTGCGTGTGTGTGTGTGTGCACTATGCGTACGTTTTCTGCCGCACAGGAGGAGCGCACGTCCGTGTTTGTACACGTGCGTGAATGTGTTTTGTACAGATTAGTAGTTGTGCGTGTGCTGTTCCGGCAAGTTGGATACCAAGACCGAGGGAGAGGGAACTCGAGGACCACCACAGTTTGCTGTCTCTTTCCCCACTTTGACATACGAGCACAGTTGTGCGCCTCTTCGCTACTGGTTAGCCAGTTCATAGCGTGTGTGCTAAGGGGCAGACAAAAAGGTGCCTTCATGCACTTGCCCAATCGTTAGTTCGTGCACGAACNCACACGTGGGAAGGCACAACAATCTGTTCGATCTGTGCTGCACATGGTGCAAACTCTGTTTGTGCGTCCGAACGACACATGCATACCAATAGGCACCGAATGGGATTGGGTATCAGTGCGCTGATTGGTTGCACTACTCAACGCTGGGACATGTGCATGTGTGCCCATGTGCACAATCTCGGACGTCGTTCCATTGATTGGACCGCATTGTGACAAGCGCCCCAACAGCACCGGCACCAGCACCATTGCTTCTTCTAATTGATTTGGGGATCAGGTGTGTGTGTATGTGTATGTGTGTGTGTGAATTGTGTTTCCCACGAATGCGTGTATATAGATGCGCGTGCAATAACTGTGTGTTGCATCGCGAAATCTGCAACCAGTGGATTTAGTACGATTGGCCAATATTCGATTGGTCGGTCCAGGAGCAGTCAGAGAGGCACTGGAACAAACTATTTCGTGCACCTGCCCTAACCCGTTTTGTCCGGAGCCTGATTCAATTGAATTTTGACGCAAGTGTGCCCATTCGATGACTGTGTGTGTGTGTTCGCACATGTACGAGTGATACATGACATTAGTACGGATCAATCATTTGTGCACACACAAAAAAAACCCAGAAAGAACGGGACTAAATGGTTTAGGAGTGGGAGGGTGGGGAAAGTAATTGGTGCCACAAAATGACCTCCGTCCCCCACATGGTCATGAAAGATCTTCTGAGGTTTAGCATAATAGATCACGTAGTATCAATCTCAATGAACAAGCAACAACAACAACAAGTTGTATTGATCCTGAGCCTCCGAAAGCCTCAGTATGGTCGGGAGGTGGGTGTCTCGGATTGCGACTGGTTACCCTTGAGCGGCACCTCGTGAAATGCTCCTATACGCGACCAAGCGTCTCAAATAGCCTCCACTGAGGAACCCCACCCTGCCCTACTCACTGCCTTCTCGTGCTAGCGGAGGTGTTTTCCCGCACCAAAGTGAGAGAACGGAAAGCCAATATCCGGGGCTATACTCCGGGTTGATAAACCATTGGCAGTTCATCTAGGAGAGTTGGCTAAAAACGCTGATTCCAACACACACCTTCCCGGTTGTAGCAGTGGTAACTAACCGGTCCCATTGGGCATCAAGGTGTATTGGGCGGGCACCTTGGACGTTTGACCTCGTCCACAGGGCATATGATCCAATGAATTGGTGGACACCGGCCCCCAATCCGCTGCGGACTCTGTGCTCCGTCTTGTCTTGTCTTGCAGGTCTACTAGCTTTCTAGCCAAAGCCTTCGGGTGCCGATTTCCGAGGTTATCCCCCTTCCTCGGTCAGAGTAACCGGGATGTGATATGCCCACACAACCTATGAACACATTCTACAGATTTCTTTTTGTTCCAATGTTGTAGCACATTTGTCCGTTCCGTGTAATTGGTTGTGTTGAAATAAATAAATAAAATAATGAGCGAGTTTAGACATCTATCCAGTCAGGGATTATGTTGAGTTTTGAGAAGATGAGCATGCACACACACACACACACACACACACACACAAACAGCTACATGCACCAGAGTGTAATTTGACACTTGTGTGTTTAATCTGTGAATGTGCATAGGTACAGTTAGTTCGTTTGGCTCCACGAAACTCATCCCGTTCCGGTTTAGGTGTGTTGAATACACTACGATTGTAATCGTAAAATAATCCGATGGACAATGTGGAAAACGGTATTCACAAAGAAATTTCTTCTCGATATACATCGCATCAGGTGTTTACAGATATATAAGTTGATCAAAGTCCAGGTATCTGATTGACCGACTAGAGAGAGCTCTGTTAGTAACGATTACATAGTCAAGCCGGCAGAACAAAAGAATATGTTACCGAGTCGTGGTGGTGGGGCTGAGATGACAAAAGTCAAATGGAAACCTTTAGAGAGATGGACCACAATTTAAAAACTAACTATTTTATTTTATTTTATTTTTTGACTCCACTGCCCCTTCCCGATTATATCACTTGCAAATGCATGACATATAGTTTCTAATATGTATCTTACGCAACTTCATTCCGCTCTCTCTCTCTCGTCTTAGCTGATAACCTTCATTTTAATCCGCCCATCTCTGTCGCTCACTCTCTCCCGTTTTCCATTTGACCTTTGTCCTCTTACCCCCCCTCCCCGCCCGCCCCCACCTCGATGTCTAACAATCACTATGACGTTGTCATATTTGTTTGCTTTGCTGGCTCGCCTCGGTCATCGTTACTAACTAAGCTCACCAATCGGCCAATCCGATATCTGTACTGCGATCACCTTACATAGGTGTGTGTGTGTGTGTGTGTAAACACCTGATGCGATATACATCGAAGAGAAATTTCTTTGCAAATACCGTTTTCTACACCACAATCGGCGCGAGGGGGAATCAGTCGCTAGCATACAAACCAGCTCACCCGAGTGGTTTAGTCCGAAATAGCTTATTGCATGTGGATTGGTGGTGACCAGTGTAGTGTCAATCGTATAAAAAATGGACTGATTTATCGTTCCAGACGGATAAAGTATCACACAACACATTTACTCAACCGAAAGTTACCATCTGTTATAGTAATCACTAACCCAGACCGTGCCCGATAGAGCAATGATGCCCAGTACAGGAACGCCTTGGAATCGGACATTACTTTGTATGATATTGGAAACGACATGCATCTGAGAAGCGGTTTAAACAGTATTTATTCGTGAGGGTTTTAACTGGGAATATCTTCTCTGACTGGATTGAATGTGTGCTCCAGTGAAAACATCTTACCCGAAGTGACTTTCTCTGGCTGGCGAATAGCAGATTCGATCTATACGGTGTCTGGGGCCATAGTTGTGTTGCGAGGAGACAGAGAGAGACAGAGAGAGAGAAAAAGAGAGAGATCAGATTTCCTTTTAAGTTGTCTCGTTGACCTCATTGGAACGAACTGCCAGGTTTGGGTATTTTTCAAGCCTTCCATCTACGTCTGGATGACCACCANCACCATGCACCGTATGTCGACTTCTCAACCTCCTGTTGAAGTGCGGGGGAGACGGTTGTGAGAAGTGCCTCGGTCACACACACACACACTCCCAATTCCCATGGTGCATCTTGGTTTTTTGCCTTCTCAGTATGCGTACACGTACGCCTGTGTATGTTCATCTGACTTCCCCTGAAAAGTCTTCTGATACCAATGGATCATGCCCGATCGATTCTTGAGCCATTGCTTACGTCCGTCGCATGATGCTACAATAGAATAGAATTTATAGGCTACACCTCAAGTGACTACACTGGGATACCGATCAATCATACTCGATCGATATTGGCATCAGTGTTGACTATAGATTCACATCCAGTTCGTTCGACACTTACAGATTATGTTCCATCTCTGTGATACAACGACAGAAGCACCTTCACGTACTGAACAATCAAAATGATCATTATGACCATTTCTTGGGAAGGGATTGAGATATCTCCATCAAACCATTCGCAATGGAACTAGCGTAACGAGTGCTGTCGAAATGCATATGGTGTATATTTCTTAATAAGCAATATGTGAATGACTGGACAAAATTTCCCCGGATGCACATGACCGGTTTCGCGGTTCTTGCCGCTCGTCATGCATATGTATTCGGTAATCTTTTGTGACGAAAGTACACTTCCTGGGTACAAGTATATGAATGAACTAACAAAAAATTGCCGGATATCCATGCCTGACGAGCGGCAAGAACCGCGAACCCAGTTGTGTGCTCCTAGGGAAATTTTTCCAGTCATTCACATACTACTTATTATGAAATATATATATATATATATATATATATATATATATATATGCAATTCCACTCGCTCACCCCGGTAATGATATTTCTTCAATCGTCAGTTTCATTTCGTCTTAGGTCCGAGTTCGCTTCCCAGTGAAGCTGGATTTGCCAAATAAGACCCAGTGGTTTGGTTATTGATTTTTATTATTCACGCAACCAAATCATTTGGCTCTGCCCAGCTCGTCGCTGCGGTGGCGGTAAGTGATGTGCGGAGGGACTGTCCCCCCCCTCACCCCTCACCCCTCACCCCTCACCCCGTCCCCCGTGGAAATTCATTAATCGCCAAATCCCGTTTCAGATCTATGTGTACAGGGCTGTATTGATCCGCTAGTTTCTTTTAATCGTGTCAGCCATTAAAAAATCAACAGGTGTTATTTTAAAAAGAACGGACGCGGTGCATTGTGCTAGGTATCGCGTGTGCCTTCTCCTTCCCTCTCCCCGCCCCATACACACACACACTGAGAAGCTGTAACCAGTTGTTTATTCGGGTGAGAATATCATGATGCACTTTTGACAAACGTGACGGGGTATCGGATCGTGCGTGGTCTTGGTATTGTCCGCTATTCGGTATTGGCGAAACACCTGTTAAGGTAAGTGACCATACATTCGGTTGGCAGTTAGTTACTTTTAGCAACTTTATCAAGTCACATTCAGCATCTGTTTGTACAACAACAACAACAACAACAACAACAACAACAACAACAAACAGTTTTGAATGTGAGAAAATGTGGACATGAATGAGTAGTTTTATGTACTAAACTTAATTACGCTAATGAATAATAATAATAATAATAATAAATTTATATATACATAACACATTCAAATAACCCATTTCGTAGCATAAATATCGTGATGGATATAAATTTGACTTAGAATCAGTGCGAATCGGGAGACAAGACTGGTCAAACATAAACCAGAGAATTTTTTGCTGTTCGGAATTTTTTTCATTACCAAACTGGATTACATGTCCACTTTAGTGGAACTGATTGATCAAATGATGTAATTAATGAGGTCTCCTGAAAACCAGACGGAATCAGCCCCGCACCCACCTCGATTCGTGCAAGCTTCGGCAAAAAACCCACAATCCTTTAGCCACGACCCGTGGTAGTCTTTAAGCTTCGATGCGGGCGAGTCAGATCAACATGTATCAGAATATATTCTGGGGTCAGAGAAAATCGAAACACTTTATTTTCTACAAATATTGATTTTTCAAAGCTTGGTTTAAAAAAAATGATCGCGTGTGGATAAGGTTTAAACGATACATCTCGTACAACTTCGGTGTTTTCACTGAACCGGTTTTTAATGTGCTAAATAATAAGCTAATTGAAGTGGTAAAAGCGCTTACGTGTTTGCCTCTATCAGCGGATTCAGTGGAGGAAATCCAGTTCGGTGGTTGGCATGCAACTGTACACCCAAAGCAGTCCAATGAATGGGAGCGTTGCCCAGAT